TCTAATTCTCCGGAAATGATCAATTGAAACCCTCTATGTAGTTGTTGTATACATTTCATTAAATTACTTGTTCATTCAATTAAAGAGTTCTCTACTACTAGAATTTTAAAGCAGGTTTTGAATGTATTATCCCGTAGCATTTTCAACTTGGTGTGCTACAATATGATTAGATGATTTTATTTAAAATAAGACATTCCCTAGTTAATATGATTGTCTAGGTTGATTATTATGAATACATATATGTATGTAATTGGTGCAGAAGTGGAATTATAATTCTTTTTTTTTATAACCGTGGATGTTTGGGTCAGTTTGCGTGCACCTCGACTAATCTCACGGTGCCCTGAAGTTTACGGCCGGATACTCACCTCAGTGGCCCTGAGGAGACTTGAACTGGTAACCATTGGGGAGCAAACCCAAGGCTTGACCAATTAAGCAACCACTCAAAGTTAGAAATGGAATTATAATTCTTGAAACAAGGTAGTAAAAAAGTCGAAATTTTGTAGAGAATAATTTGGTTGTAATAAAATTGATGATTGAAAAAGTGTACTAGACTTTGCTTATACACGCAAAATAATCTTATAACCTTAATAGCTCAAGGTAATTATCTAAAAGAATAAATGATAAAAAGCTAAACGAATAAAAAGTCATAATCTAAACAAGAATAGAACTATAGTACAATATATAAAAATTCCTACCTTATTTGTAATAGGATTGTTCTACATCATTTTTCTGTACATCGAAAAACTCGAATTCGAGATCGTTGTCGGAAGAGAAATTTCATTTGATAATGATCAAAGATGTCTGCCATATTGAATGAATGTGAAATGTTGATTTTCGCTGGAAGGTCAATCTTTATGCATTGTCTCCAATGTTTTCAATACGCGAAATGGCCAGACTGCTATTAGTTCCAACACCAACCTATTATTTCGCAGATATACCATAATTAAATCACCCTCGTTGAAAAATTTTAGTTTGCGATGATTATCTGTGCTTGGAATTAGCAGCTTCTAAGTTCTTAACCTTTTGATAAATTAGTTGCACATTTTCAACAAACTCTTCAGTTGTAGATCTAACATCACTATATTTGAGGTAAAAGAATTTGATCTAGTGTCTAGGCGCTTGCTTATATACTATCTTGAAGGGTTCTCATTTAGTTGAACGATTTGACATACTATTGAAAACAAACTCAATATGTATCCCACTGTTTATGCTTATTACCACGAAGTCATCGAATCATGTTACTAAGTGTGCAATTAGCCAATTCAGTTTGGCCATCATGTGGGTGTTTAGTGTTGTTAAATTTTAAAGAGGTATCAAACTTCTTTCAAAGGGTCCTCTTGAAATGACTTTGAAATTTGACATCATTGTCCAAGGTTTATGGACTAGAAACTACACAAGGATGAGCAATCTCCCTAAAAAATAAATGAGTGACATGAGAGGCAACATGTCTTCTTGCAGGGAATAAAGTGAACCATATTGGAGAACTGAACAACTACTACAAAAGTTGAATCAAATTCACATTGAGTTCAAAGGAGTCCAAGAATAAAACTCATGGTCAAATCTTACCTGATATCTTAAAGGAGTATATAGGCGGGTGTTTTGTGCTTGGCCTTTTGCTCGTTGACTTATAGGACAATTGAACAAATTCACCGTCCCAGTTAAGTTAAGGCCAATAAATGTGATTTTCTATCACGTTGATTATTTTGTCTCGGTCAACATGACCATAGAGTCCTTCTGCATGTACTTCTCTAATTAAATATTCTCGTAGCAAAGAGCGAAGACAACAAAGTTGATTGCCTTTAAACAGAAAACCATCATGAATATGAAAATCATTGGTAGTGCCCCACAGTTCTAATTTTGTTCTGAATTGTCCCGAAATTGACATTTTCTATGTTAGATTCTTTCAAGAAAGCAAAGCTAATAATTTCTATGCAAATCTTGACAAGGATGCCTGATCTACTCGATGCATCAACTACTTTGTTTAGAAACGTAATTCACTGTGTATGCATGCGGTTCATTGTTTTTTGGAGTTGATAAACTGTAAATCTTTTTGATTAGTGAACAAAACAGATCTCTTTAAACAAAGTAATGCTCGTAGTGCTTCGGAGCTCGAATGCTGGTATAATATTCAAGTTCATAAGTGGTCCAATTTGCCGGGTTTCACTTGTCTGTGCTAAAATGTTTCGCAGGCCATTTCTCCTGGGATAATACAGCCTGCCGTCTTGAACAGAATAATTGTACTCCACCGCAAATTTTGGTGCAGAAGTGGAATTATAATTTTTGAAATAAAAAGAAAGTTGAACATCTCGAAATTTTATAGAGAAAAATATTATTGTGATGAAATCAATAATTGAATAGGTGTACAAAGTTTTTGCTTATATAGTCAAGATAATCTCATCATCATAATAGATAAGTAATTAAAATCTATAAGAATATGTAATTAGAAACTAAAAAATATGAAGTCCTTATCTATACAAGAAATAAAATCCTACTACTATAAATAATAATTCATATCCTATTTGTAACATGATTGCCGTACATCAATAATTATATTAGAAGACCACGTTTTATGGTTTCCATTCTAATACGGGGGTATGAATCTTGCACCTAAATATGGAAATTTATATTTAGTCCCTCTGAGTCCCATTCTTTAAAAACTCATTTTTTATCAAACTCATTTTCAATCACACATTCTTTCGATAAAATAATTTTATATGTAAATCATGAACTTTTATTTATTTTCTAACTACATTCTAAAAAAATCACTATTGCAAAATATATTTTTCCAAAAAAGGGGTCTCAAACAAACCCTCAATTCATTGTCCGCGGTTCTGTTACTCTTATCAATTTCCTAACTTGGCATATTTAGTTGAAAGTTGTGTAAGTTGTTTCAAAGTGATTTGCTTTTATTTATTTACGGAAGCCTTTCACATTGAGGTCGGCCAAATTGCGTTCATATCTTGGTTAGACATAGCTTTGTATTTATTGGTGCCAAAAGCGGGATGCAAAATACACAAAAACATTTGGTTTCTCCTGTGCTTTATATTTAACATGGTTCATAACAATGAACTCTGGATGATATTAACTACTATGATGTTCAATATTTTGCTTACTTGTAGATTACCAACACACTTGTGACCACACATTGTGTGCCTGTTTAGGCTCCTTTAAAAATGTATTTTGGGAAAATATATTTTGGAATGGTAATTTTTTTGAGAATGTGTGATTAAAAAATTAAGAAAAGTTTTGGGTTTACATGTAATAATATTTTATTGGAGAATGTGTGGTTGAAAAGATAAGAGAGAAAAATGCCTTTTTTTAGAATGGAGCCCAAACATAGCTGTAGTGTAATTGTTTTCTTATCTATTCAGTTTTTATTTTGCACATTATATTTTTTAATTGTTTTCTTATCTATCCAGTGTTTTGTCTTGCACATTATATTTTGTCTCAGGTATCCCCTTTTCCTTATTTTGTTTCATAACTTAGATGGTTGCAAGGACAATTATGGCTGTTGACTTAGGTGAAACTGAAATAGGGGACACATTTATTGTTGATAGCGTTACCCTGCTGGCCAGTGGCAGAGCTAGGATTTTTTGTTTGGGGGGTGGTTAGTGTTGCTACAACGGTCAACGACACAACGGTAGCCGATAGATAGTGGCATAATACATTTGAAGATAACGATAATTTATCTATTTCATTCAGAACATAATAGTAATCAATTTTGTACGTACATTAAAATACAAATAAAATATAAAAAATGAATCCACATTTTTAGTTAAAAAATCAAGGATTGGTTACTCAAAACCTTGAAAATCGAAAATATTGGGGGAAAGGGACTGGAAGATTTTTTTTTTATATTTGATGTGCTTACATGGTCTTGTGGTGCAATTTCAACTTTTTTCTTTGCGTAATCAACCTCAGTGGTTGACATATTCGGATTTAATCTACAATGGTGCTTAATGAAATTGTTTAGTATTTCAGTGTTAGAAATTGTAGATTTGCTTAAATTAATAGAAAGATAGATTTATACGTATGAAGGCGGGTAATGATGCTCTGTAGGTTGAATACGGGGTTTTGATTAAGAAAGCATTTTGATTGGGAAAAAAAAAAAAACGAAAAAAAGTTAGATGGAATATGTAAAAAGAACAAACTATGCAATTGGAACTAAAGATTGAGGATTGAAAGTCCACTGTACCTTTCCCTCTGTTCCTGCAATGACAATTTGCATCTTTCATTTTACTTGAGCAATATAAATACATTTCCTTTTCAATTTTATCTATTCTAATTTGGTCGCCATGAATATTTTTCCTTTTTTTGTTTGGAGTTGATTTAATGACTGCATTTGGATCTATTCTCTATTTACATTGAGTTTTAATTTCCATCTTTTTTATTTCAAAGATTGCTGATTTCTGGAAGGAGGCTCTGATATTGAGTTCATTGCACCATCCAAATGTTGTTTCTTTCTATGGCGTAGTTCGTGATGGCCCTGATGGATCTTTAGCAACAGTGACAGAGTTCATGGTCAATGGATCTTTGAAACAATTTCTGCAGAAAAAGGACAGGTATCCTTCCTTTTCTGATCTAGAATTTATTCCCTGCATTGACAAATAACGGTAGTACGGGACTTAGACTATTATCTTTGAACAGAACAATCGATCGGCGCAAGCGACTTATTATAGCTATGGATGCTGCATTTGGGATGGAGTACTTGCATGGCAAGAATATTGTCCATTTTGATCTAAAATGTGAAAATCTGTTGGTAAATATGCGGGATCCACATCGACCAGTTTGCAAGGTAGGTTGAGAAACTGACCTGGACATTTGAGTTACTTTAGGAGTCAATCTATTGTATGCACTATTCAATACCTTTCTCTGTAGTTGCTACTTTTTCATTTGTACGCATTGAAATGTTCAGAGGCTTTAGTTTCAGCTATCAACTTTCTGTAGTTGGTGAAGCTGTTATTATTCAAACTTTAATTGTACTGGCCTTTCAGTATCTGATTCATATTTTTTGTTTAGTTTTTGAGGAAAAAACTTTGTACCTGAGTGTATCTAGTGTTTTACTAGAATTAATTTGTCATCTTGCTTGAATTCCTTATTAGATTGGCGATCTCGGCTTATCAAAGGTGAAACAACAAACTTTAGTGTCGGGAGGTGTCCGTGGGACTCTACCTTGGATGGCACCTGAGCTCTTGAGTGGAAAAAGTAACATGGTAACAGAAAAGGTTAGACAGTTCTGACATAATCACTAATTTTTTTAGCCTTTGACCTCTCTCTCTATTTTTCTCTCTTAATTATTTAATAAATACCTGGTTCTACACCCACAGATCGACGTTTATTCATTTGGGATTGTCATGTGGGAATTGCTTACTGGCAATGAACCATATCCAGATATGCATTGTGCTTCTATAATTGGTACGTAACTATTCCTACTTTGTCTTGGAAAATGTTCCACTTTTGTTTGTAAACCTTGTTTATGCATAATAATTATCCAGGCGAAAAAAAGAAAAAAGGAGTATGTTTGGGGCAGCCTTTTCACGATCTATGCTTTTCTGTTTTCTTCAATTCTTTTATACATATTGAATGAAATCGAGCCCAAAAAAAAAAATAAAGGAGGACTGAGTCAGCCTTTTAACCATCAATAGGCTTTCTATCTTTGAGTCATGACATTGGTCTTGCTCAGTCATGTTGGTCAGAGGCTTATGCGTCCGGGTTACTTTTATTTGCTTGCATTTGCCTGGAGAACTCACCTTTCATTTATAGGTAGATAAGTTTTACTAGGCAATTTTGAGGGGATGCATACTATGTAGTGTAGTAAAAGATCAGCCTATTTATAGGAAATACTCACCCTTAAATTGATTTAAAATATGTGTGTGTGTGTAGTAGTTTAGGGGGGTTATCTGTCTAAATCTCTTTATCTACTCATTAATTATATTGGAAACTGAAGATCACTAGTTTCCTGTAAAGGCAGTGACTTGATGTTTGATTCTCTTGGCGTTTATACAGTCATTTTGTTACTTGTGTCTTTGGTCAAAGACAAAGCTGTGTTTTAATTCTTGGTTTGGTCAATTTTTATACAGCAGATATTGCTAATTTTTTCTTCATGGATTTTGCGTATTCTGTTTGATGCCGTGGACTTAAATTTTGTTCTAAATGTTAATTTGAGTGCTCCTCATTTTTTTGGTGACTATAGATGTAGTAAATTAGTTCTAAAATTTCTTGTCTCTTAGTAATCAGTATTTCGTTTATGCATGTAGGAGGGATAGTGAACAACACATTACGCCCTCAAATTCCAACCTGGTGTGATCCCGAATGGAAGTCATTGATGGAAAGTTGTTGGGCGCATGATCCAGCTCAGAGACCGTCATTTTCAGAAATATCGCAGAAGTTGAGAAATATGGCTGCGGCTATGAATCTGAAATGATGTTTTGCATCGAAAAGTAGTTTCCACCAGGAACCGATTATAGAACATAAAGATTCTGTGTTTCGATCTCATGAATGCATCTTCTAATAAGGGATTGTTATAAGTTTATATTCTTCCAATGAATTTTTAATGCATGTTTGGTATACAGTATTGGGCAGCACAGTATATAAGAATTTAGGTTTTTTTTCCTCTTTTAATACCTTTCAGTGCAATCCATCTTACCAAACATGTATTTAATAATAATATCGATGTTTTGTGAAGTGCATAATTATGCCAACAATATGCATATATCTACTATTAGGGTGTGTTTGATGGATGTTATTGAGGAAAAAAATGTATTTTAAATAGTGATATGATGGGAAATATGTGGTTAAAAAGTAAGGAAAAATTATTGATGTGATAGAAAATATTATTTTGTTGAAGAATGTGTGGTTGAAAATGAGTTTTGAATGAATATATTTTGAAAAAATGTGTACCAAACAGGGCTTACATTCCCAGTGTAAGTTTAACTTTCTCGAGTTCCACTTTTACTGAACTGCTAACAATATGCATCTATCTACTATTAGGGTGTGTTTGATGGATGTTATTGAGGAAAAAAATGTATTTTAAATAGTGATATGATGGGAAATATGTGGTTAAAAAGTAAGGAAAAATTATTGATGTGATAGAAAATATTATTTTGTTGAAGAATGTGTGGTTGAAAATGAGTTTTGAATGAATATATTTTGAAAAAATGTGTACCAAACAGGGCTTACATTCCCAGTGTAAGTTTAACTTTCTCGAGTTCCACTTTTACTGAACTGCTTTTTCATTAATGTCTTGAGATTGTAATTCAATTGTGCAGGTCATCAGTTATTTGGAATGTCGCCGTGTGGTTCAATGCTTTTGATTGTTCTCGAGTTCAAACTCGGCAGCCATGAGAGGCAATACGCTTATGTAAAAACTATAGCATTTCATAGGGAAATGTTTGAATCTTTATTCAGTCGATCATTGCTGTAACTTGAACCTTCTTCTTCTATGTGCTTATCTGATTATGTATGTTTAGGAAATCTTTCATCGGTAAGCATCTTTTCAGATTTTTGAGATGTAGAAGGTATAGTGACACAGGGAAGTTATTAAGTTCATATTTTGAGTTCTTGGTGAGTTTAGAGTATGAAGTTCCTGCAGTTACACGTTTGATTATTTTTCCTTGTTTCGTTGTGCATGGATCGGGTAGTCTCGGGTTTTAGGTATAGTCTTTGTTGGGTAGCAGCTTTCGAGTTTTACCTTGTATACATAACATCGGCCATGCGTCACCGGTGTGAAAGACTGCTATGGTTTTGTAAATTTACAGAGAAGCAGAAAAATGAATAAAAATAAAAGTTCCGAGGAAGAAAATGTGGAAATGATATATTAGAAGTGAAAGTTTTTTTTTGATTATTTTTTTTTCAGACAATAAATCCATTAGAATATGGTTACGTAAAAATCAAATATCTTATGGATGCCCAAAAAAAATAAAAAATAAAAAAAATTAGAAGACTTCATTGTTTATTCTATTTCCTCATATGGATTTAACGTGTTAAGTAGAACATCGAGTTTTAACATCCACAACGTATGTGCCTAAACACGGAGATGTTAGTATTTTAGAAGTTACAATGCAATCCATTCGCTAAAACAAAGAATTTCCTACCTAAATACTTATGTGACGTATAGATGATATCTCCTTATACTTTTCGTATATTATTCTTTAATTCTTCGTCGGTCTGTCATAAAATCAAATTCGTTTCCGAAATTCAAAAAAATGTTTCCAAGTTTTTAGTTTAGTAGAATTCGGAAACTTCAAGAAAATTGAAAACCTAAAATACTAGAGTTTTCGTGTTGGGCTTGACAATTGTAAATATTGAATTTATAAAAGTGGAAATTACATATATCCCTACTTTTCAAGATGCAATTTCAAAAATCAGATTTTAAGTTTTATTGTTCAAAATTCAGATATTTTATAGATAGATACAAATTTTTATATTTAATTAAATATTAATAATAATATTATAAAAATTAATATATATACACCCTTCCCCACACCTAAAATAAATTTCAAACCCTAAATTCTCCCCTCTCTCTATCTCCCCGTCTCTCACACCTCTCTCCCCTCACCGGCGACTTCGCCATCTCTTCCGGCGGTGTACTCTCCCTCGGAGCATCCTTCGCACAGATCAGAACAGTGGCGGCCAAAGCGTTCTCCCCTCTCTCGCTCTATCTCCTCGTCTCTCACTCATCTCCCCTCCCTCACCGGCGACTGCGCCATCTCTTCCGGCGATCTTTTCATCTCTTCCGGCGGTCTACTCTCCCTCACAGCATCCTTTGCACAGATCGAAACAGCGACGGCCAGAGCGTTGATGATCCGAGCCACCGGTGTTCGACGATCTGCTAACCAGATCCGATGGCGATCTGCGAAGCACCGTGGCGATCTTCATGAATCTAGTATCAGACTCTCTCGCTGGTTGTGTTGGGGGGTGGTGCGATGGCGGCGGATGTGGTGGCGGTGGTGGACTATTGCAGTGTGTGCGTGGAGGTGCTGGTATATGGTGGTGGTGAATTTGTGCAGTGTGGGGTTAGTGGGTTTGCTAGGTTTGGTAGTGGTAATAGTGATAGAGATGGTGGTTGTCGTGACGATTGTGGTGGTAGTGGCTGTGGTTGGGAGTTGAATGAAATGGGGTTTTCCAGTTTGAGGTGGTGGTGGCGACGACGGTTTGACGGTGAGGTGGTGG